CGAGTTTTATTTATATTATTTTGAACATTTTGAACACAATTTGGCCATTCTTGGCATTTATGCTAATAGTCGTTTTTTTACCATCCCTAAATATCGACAAAAAAATCCCGATAGCTAAAAATCCCGACAGCCAAAAAAATCCTGACAGTTAAAAATCCGATAATTAAAAAATTCTGATAAAAAATGTCATAAACCATAGCCAACCCTAGTCTAACCCTTATCTAAAGTGACCTAACCCTAAAGTTAATTAAATTATAAGAGCCTATTACGCTTTAAACATACCTCATATTTGGGATTTTCTATCTAAAAGTTCTGGCTGTCGGGATTTTTAATTGTCGGGATTTTTGACTGTCGGGATTTGTTTGTGGGCGCCACCCGCCACCAAAAAATTACTGTCACATGATAGTGTGGAGCATAGAAAGCTTTATGTTTGATTGGTCGAGTATATTTCGTACGAGAATCATCACGTGACCATAAACCGTAGTACCCTGAATATATTAAACGGAATTAATTCCGATTGTTCGTGTCTTTAAAATTTTAAACTGAAGTAATAAAGTATTACGATATAATGAAATTAGGTTCGAACATAAAGGTTAGGAAGCTTGAACATGGAAATATGGAAATATTTAGTAAACTAGTAAATCTGTTTTTTATTTGGTTGTGTAGGTTATAGTAATGGAATTTTATTAACTAAATACATTGCAAAAACTTTGATATTTTGGGAATTAAGTACAAAACGCAATTATGTATCACTTTTTTTTTAGCAACTCCAAAATTTCTTCAATTTTACCTTCTATTCCCTGAACTCTTTTTTGTAAATCATCACTGGGTTTAGTCCCTGTTTCAACTTTCAAAGGTGTTTTCATTTCTTCACTAACTTTTTCTTTCTGAGAATCATCATCACTATCTTCATCGCTAGCCTCCTCGACAATTTCTTCACCAAGCAAAGCATGATGGGTTGATCGATAATTTTCAGCTTTTTCTAGCCAGTCCTCTTGGTAATTGACTTTTCCTATATAATATATATAACGTCGATCTTCACGTGTCATTCCAAACGGTTTTTCAAGAGTTTCAAAGTCCGCAATTAAGCCAGCTCGGTGTCTCAAAACTGCAACTTCACTCGTAGATTGTGCTTCTTCGAATGCATTTCTATTATATAAATTTACAAGATATAAGTATTGCATTATTGTTAGATTAACGTTGATTCACACGAAAAATTTCATACAAAAAAAAAAATATATTTACGTCATAAACGCAATCAACATATTTTGCATGATCATTACAAGTAAAATGCTTGCAACTATTCAAATATATATAAATATATAATTAATTTAAAGAAATTCTTCCAGCACATTTTTTTTCATTACAGAATAAAAATCTTACGAATAGCCAAAATGTCAAGAGGTATAAAATCCCATTGGTCAAGTTGATCCCATCTTCCATTAATCCAAAAGAATACACTTTCAACGGATTTCCAAAAATGAGAAAAATAATTGTCAGTGACACTATTAACATCAATTGATTGAGAAACTGTTATATCAGGAAATAGATTATTTGAATCTGGATTTGTATTTGAAGCATTTAAGATTGAATATGATGATCCACTTGGAACTAGATTAATTCGATTTGGATCTCGTAGTAAAATATACCTATATAAATTAGTGAAAATGCAAATAATGAGTGACATAGTATAAGTAATAGGAA